TACATATTTATTAACATAATATAAACTATAAAGTATAGTCCTGGTTGGACGAGAGTTTAAATATCGTATTATAATGGATGCAACTGTTTAATATATACATTTTATATACATTGTACACATGTATACAATCACACACACACACACACACGTCACACACGGTAGCTCACACATGACATGTGAGCGTGTGTTATATAATATGATGATTGACAATGCATCCCTCAGCCCGACTTATAGTAATAATAATAATAATAGTAATACATGTTTTTGGCACATCTGCTCAACTAACTTTGACTATACACTATATGGCCCAGGGCCGCCACGCATGGGGTCACAGCCGCCGCCCCGTCCTCCACGCATATATTATATTATTATACCCTTCCATTATTTTTACGTTTCGTAAACGGCGTTAACACAAAACGCGCTCTCGACGGGGTCGCGACTCGCGTGACGATGTGCAGCCAATTCGATTTCGTACAATGGATCTATATACAATGCGTGATGGTGCGAAATAAAATATTCGACACTTGTAAAACATCCCAAACCGAAAACACGGCGGGCAATCTGTCGACGGGAAAACTGAAAACCGATCGTCATCGCCATTATAATTATTATTATTATTATTAATGCTGTTGCCAGTTGTTGTAACTAAAGTGAGGGGTGCCATTAGGTTATTGCGCGAAGCGACTGGCGAGTAATAAACAGTGAGCTGTATGAGGCACAAATCGTATACGGTTCGGCGCGTGACTACAGGCGCGATCGGCCGGGATGGTGGTTGGGTAATTGACACTTTTCCGCACAGCGATTGAAAATTCCCAACTAAAATTAATACTTGTAGTCCGTAGGTGGAGGTTTGTCCGATTTTAGAAGGAGCCTTCATTTTTTAAACAAAGGTTAACTTAAATAAGTAAACAAATTTGCATTACCACGCACATTTATCGAAATTTTAAAAATTTTTGTTCCCTGTATCATACAAATTGCCTATTGTGTTAACACAATTTTAAATTAAAATCATGAAACACAAAAAATGACAGGTAATAATAATCATATATAATATTTCTATAAAGCAAAAAATCAAAATTGTGTAGAGATATTTAATTCGTATTGAATATCTGGTTATCTGACCTTTCTAAAATATGTATATTTTCATTTCTGACAATAATTTACGGGTCAGTCTAAAATAAAAAATATAAGCCAGAATGGAATCTAATTTTAAATATCAACAATTTGTTTTTTATTACACACTTTGAAATAATAATATTTGTAAGACGTTTTTTTGGGGGGTTGGCAATTATTTTTATTTAGTTGTCATACAATATAAATATTATACATTTATTTTGTTCGAATAATTTTTTAAGAATCTACAATATTTTTTCCATTTTTTTTTCTAACATCTAATCTAAATGGTTTTTGATATTATTCAAAATAAAATGTTTTACCCCAATAAATTTAAATTAGTGTTTGAAATGCATAGCTGTTATTTTGTCTCATTTCACCATCACATACACTTGATTTGATAGCTTATACAGTTTAATGTAGTGTATTAATTACATACACAATACAAAATACACAAATTTAACGAGATAACTGTACAGATGTGTATTTTTTATTCCAAATAAAGACTAGCAGACAATTTCCCTATATCTTCTATTAATTGAATGACCGTTAACAATATAAGAGTGCGGTAAGCACTACAATACCACAATCTGATGATTTAGGTAATAAATAACAGCATGACTCACTACATCTCTTTCTTATGTAAATATCAATGGATTCAAGACAATTTTTCATGACCAGGACCTCTTCGATTATCTTATAGCTTTGAATTATAGCTTAATTATTTTAAATCAAAATATTACAAAGCATAATTTTTTTTTTACACCAATTTATGATAGGCTTACTACAATATACTCATACTTAAATATTCTGGAAAATGTTTGATGCATATAAAAGTATATCTTTCTAATGAACATCTAAAGAAAACAATGATCCAAATGTTTGATCCAATGAAGTGAAAAACTATAAAGTTTCTGCCATCTGTTGACTAATATTTGAACTACTTGTGAATAATAATAATATTATGTACACTAACATAATAGTATTATACAATTAATAATACAATAACAGTAAAACATTTTTTTTTCAAATCTAAACTATTTTTGCAGTTACAAATTCTATTAGTGCCGTAGAAAATGTACCATTCATTATAAGATAACAACAACAATATCAAGACTTAACTCTAAACACTTTTAAAGTCATTCTCAACATAAGATAGGTTTGAAATTTGTGAAAATATTTTATCTTTCCTTTATACCCGAATTCAAAGTGATAGTATGATTAGTTAGATATAAAAATACAATTATTTTCAAATTAAATAAAACAATATGAATGTATCACATCACACCGATAGCTTATACATAATATACATATTTTAAATGTAAATTATTTAATTATGTCATGTTTACTAATTACTTGTAAACACCATTTCCAGTAACACAAATCCATAAATCTATCTACCTATTGTTAAATTACAAATAGATTTACCTGCAGGACAAAATCGGCCTTCTGGACCATCATACAGATTAAGGTTTGTGTTAACAGGAACAGAGTCGTCCAATAACGTTAAATGGGCAGGTTGGTCTCCTTCGTGGTTTGTGCCAGTCAGTGCAACAGAAGACAAAATATCAAAGCTTATTTTTCCATCAGGTTTTGGATACTCGATAACAGAAACTTCAGTCTTTGTTTTCAGTCTCTCATTATCAGGAACTTACATGTATTAAAAAATATAAATTAATAACAAAAAATTAGGCAAATAGAAGAATTTTAAAAAAAATTTGTATACCTCCATGACTTAATGTCCATGGTTCTTTTCCTTTAACGGCAAGAGTAAATCCAGAATATGCCATACCTCCAAACAGTCCAAGCTTTGTGTGGAACGATGGTCGAACATTTCTTACTTCTTTCAAATCTGACCATATCCAACTGCTTTTTACTTTATCTTCATAGTCTTTAGGTTCCAAGCCTGCGTGATATTACAAATATATTTATATTTTATATTTGTATACAAATTATATACTATATTACTATAATATAACTTTTTCATAGCTGAAAATATGATTGAAATTCCAAAAAACTTTTTAATTAAAATTGTAATACTTATCTAGGTCCTAGAATAGGATATAAAAATCAGTATTTTAAAAGATATGTTTAAAAATTATTATTTGAGTAAATAGGTACTTCATAATTTAAATACTACTCAAATATTATCTACGAAACAAGTTGGCATTTATTCCATATATTTGTAAGCTTTTTGCTTACATAAAATATGTTTATAAATAATCTGTTAGGTATGAAGTACATTGTAAACTACATTTATCACTTATACGCGGAGACCAAATAAAAAATTAAATAATGGAAATTGAACCACCGCCTCCTAACAAATTACTGAGTGTGCTTATGGTGTATGAATTATAATATAGGTACAGAAATAAAAATTATTTACCAGCAGTTGGACTTGTTTCAGACGTATTAAATATGGTGTCAAAAGTTGATTCAGCAGCAAGCATGCCTGATTTCATAGCATAATGAGTACCTTTGATTTTTGGTACATTTAGAAATCCAGCAGTACAACCAATTAATGCACCGCCAGGAAAAGAGAGTTTTGGAATAGACTGAAAACCTCCTTCATTAAGAGCTCTAGCACCATACGCAATCCTGTGTAAAGAGAAATAATATTTAATTTTTAAATTTATTGATTATAAATTTCTAATAACATTATCTATTTATTTCTATTACATTACCTACAACTAATTATTATGATTTACCTTTTGCCATCCTCAAACAAAGGTTGGACATGAGGGTGATGTTTAAATCTCTGAAACTCTCTAAAAGGAGATAAGTATGGATTACTATAATCAAGTCCGACAACAAAACCAACAGCAACAAGAGGTGTGGATTCATTCAAATGATAAATAAAGGAGCCACCATAAGTATTTTTGTCCTAAAAATAATAATCACAATTTTAATTCAAACATTTAAAAATATAAACACAGGTATTAATTTGTTTCATGAAAAATACTAGATAGGTTCACAATTCAAACATGTGATAACATTAATATTTTATAATTATAAAATAAATAATTGGTGAATAGATAATAATACAATTATTTATACAGCTTTTTTTATTAAAATTAAATTGTTTGGTAAAAAATTGTTATATACAAGTTTTTGAACACCCAAACACTTAAATTTAACTACTAAATATAATACAAATTACAGTAACCTGTGCTCTGTTTTAATTTTAAAGTAAGTAACCCCACTTTTATATGATATGGTGAGTGTCAATCATCATTGAGAAAGGAATGAAATAATGGACATGGTTTTAAATTTGAATTCAATTTTATTTAATAAATAATTGCATATAAAAAACGATTCTGAGTAGAGACCAACTGTTAGTCGAATTACTTAGAATAATTTGTTATACATTTTTATTGATACTATAATAATTAATTTAACTATTAGTAATACGATGTCTTACTGCATTTTGCAGAAAACAAAGCATTTCATTTCTTATATTATACATTATAATTTTTTATAGAATTTAGGTTTCAACTAATAATGTCATTAGCCTAGTACTGTGAAGGGAGGAAAAGGTTGGTTTGAACTCGTGTTGTGACTTGTGGGTATGTGTGACAAGGATTTCTTAATAAAAATCCCGGGTGGTCATTCATCCGGAAACCAGTAACACCACCCGATGTGTACACTCAGACTTCAAAGAGCTTATGGTGTATGCAACTGACTATAGACACCTCCCCACATTATATAATATTATAATATATAATTGCTATTAGCTTTTGAGTTAATACCAACTTACTGTAAATTGGTATGGATAGACTTGTGGTGGTAATAGGCAATAGAATAAAATTAATCTCAATGTTTTTAAAATGTCATTGAATATAATATATAATATTATAGTTTTACACGTTAAAAGTTTCAAATTCTGATGAAAAATATTATTGAATAACAATTTACAACAAAATAACTACATTTGTTATTCTTTGCTTACATATATAATTTCATCTAAATTTGAAACTCAAATTTCCATAACGAAAAAAAGTTGTGCTTATAAGAAAAAATCTGGCTTAAGAGCTATAATATCCATAGAGAAACCTTGTATTTTCAAGCATTTTGATTTTTGCCTAAGCAAAATTTTTTTATTGTTATTTATACTTAAAAAAAAAATGTTAAATATCTTTAAATAGCTCAAGAGTCAAACTATTTTGAAAACTATACCATGTCTAATAAATGCTAACGTGAATATTTGGTGAAAGTTTCAATTGTTGACAAATGTTTATTTTGAATTAAAACAAAAAAAAACTAGTATTGTCAAAATCTGGTTTGAGGGGTTGGTTAACACTAAAGGTTTTTCCTAACTTTTGTTATGTTTTTCATGATTATTTTGAAAAGTATTGAGAATTTTCACTTTTGACCTACCTAAAATACTAAATAGATCTACTTTTTAACCAACATTGAAGTGTTGGATAGAAACATTTTTCCTACTATAAAAAGTGTACATACACACACACACACACACACAAAATATATCCCTATTATAAAACCAGTACATTAAACGCTTTTGAAATATTTTCTATAAATTAAGTTTAAATAGATGGTAAATCATTCAAAAAAACAATAAGTGTTTCATTAATCCCAAGAGCTTAAAAATATATAAGTATAAAAAGCAATAGATACCTATTTTCTAAAGTATCAGTTCAATAAACATTTACTAAATAATCTCAAGTTGCATAAAATAATTAAATATCAATGTTAATATTGCTAAATATTTTAATTTTACTGATTAATATAAATTTATCAGAGTGGTTGAAATGAAACCTTTTTAAGAATGAAATATTTACAAACTCAACAACTTTAATTCAAACAATCCATTATAAATTTGAAATTCTAAAAAGAAAAAAACTTCACATATTTTATGCAAACACACTATTTACCCTCACAGAGTACCTACTTCTATTAAAATGAGTTGTTTATAATACAAAATATTTATTGATTTTGTAGTATTTTCTATTTTGCAATTTGAAGATATCAAGTGGCACATGTTATATTTGTCTAATGTGTATTTGCAATACTAATACTAAAATATTTATTTTAAAATGAATAATAAATTTATGATCCTGTATTTTATTGGCTACTTTTGAAGGACTTTAATACTACACAACTTACTGAAAATGCATAAACATCAATTTCAAAGTTATTTATCAAAAAAAAAAGTCATCAATACTATTCCAAAATGGCTACGGATAATACACCAATAATTTTTAAAAACACTACTAGTGACATTTTTTCTAATAAACATTTTAAACAGTTATCTAAAGTAGTAGTTATAATAATTATAATTGCCCTTCTCATTTACTACTATTGGAAATTTACATGGATTGTATCTGAAAATAAAGATTCAAGAATTAGTATTCTTCTATACACGACGTATGTAACTTTAAATATAATACTAATCATTGTATGTTTCTTCAATGTTTTTATGGGCCATGATATTTATAAAAGTTTTACAAAAAACATTGCATACGTAGATTTTCTATCAAAAAACCTAGAATTGAGTTACAAAGACAGTGTAATTACATATATCAATTTCAAGACACTTTTACTCATCATCACAACAACCGCCAGTTACATAATACTTTATCATCTAGCATTGAATGAAAATGATTTTCCATCAGTCGATTTTACTGAAATGGTTTGTATACCTATAGTTTGGATACTTATACTTCAAATAAATGCTAAATTAAATCAATTATCAAAACGAATCAACTATATAAAAAATATACTAGAAGCTTACATGGAAAAATCAAAGAGTGTTTATTGGATCCATTGGTATACAGTCAGACCAAAGGAGATAACTGTATTAAACCGTATGCATTTATTCACATACATATCATTTATAGAAGTTTGTTCATATTACAATATTCAACTATTGGTATTGGTACCGAGGGTCATATTTTTTAATGTATTGCCAGTTCATTACAATATAGTGACAGCACTCGTGGCCGATGAACGTAATGTATCACATAGATGGTCTCAAATGTTCACTTTATCTGTCATTATTTTAACAATATGGCCAATTATTCATCTGGTAAAATGTACAAGCAATACCTTTGAAAAAGTATGAAATACTTTAAATAATAAAATATTCATAAAGCATGCTTACGTTTTTTACTAATTAAGTAACTTTCACAATAACATTAGTTTTCAAGTAATATAGCAAAAAAGGTATGCTAACCACAACTACAACTATCTGGCTTAGTTTAGAGCAAAGGAACCTATAATATATTTTATAAACAAGAATATTTCCTGTGGATTGGTAGGATAGCTTTTTAATATTTTCATTTCAAGATAAACAAGTTTTATTTTGGCTTAATTTTTCTTATGTTTAACTAATACTTACTAATTAAACAATTAAAATATTAATAACCTTCCTTCCAATTCATAGGATATTTCTATCCTTCTATAATCTAAATAAAATATATAACAGGTCCTTTTTATCCAAAAATAAACCAGATTTGTAATCGTGGAAGCATGGAATACTTTTATGCAATATTACATAGATTAACAGAGAGAGAAAACAAATGTTGGTGTGAATGACTCTTATGTATATCATAAATAAATGTCTATGTATATTAAATCAAATTTATATAAATTTATGTGAATGTTTACTCATAAAATAGATGTTATTCTAAAAAAAAATTCATAAAAAATTGTTCTCACTTATAGGGGGCGCAAATAACACAGATACTTCACAAATTATTAGACATGGGACAAAAGCAAGATATCGAAGACGAAGTAAAACAAAAATATCCAATTTAATTATTTGTAGTGTTTCAATAAATATCTTATAAGAACTTGTTATATTTTCAGCTGTATTTATTTTCTGAACAAATATTAAAAAGACAACTGCAATTTTCAGTAAAGGGATTTTTTATAATTAAACCTTCACTAGTTGCTTCAGTATGTATGTTTTATTTTAAGTAAAATTATTATTTAATGTTATAGGTATTTGAGTATAAAATATTCACTGTTTTATAACATTTTAGATGATGGAGTTGATTATTACATACGTAATAATTCTGTTGCAATTCCAAGATTCATTAAAATCTATCTCTCCAGCTCAATTTTTAGTTAGGCCAAGACCTGGCTAAAAGCAACTTACTAATGGCCAGCCAACAGTATGTTCTACTTTTCCAGGACTATGATGTTCTGGTTTTACTTCCCATATTTCCTTAAGACCAATGCCATATGATTGTGGTGCACAATTTTCACGTAGATTAAATTTTTTAAATAACTGTTTGGTAAGATGACCATGACAACCTTCAGCAAATATGGTAACTTTGGCATGCAATTCCATACCGCGTTCAAAACTATCCTACAAATGGAATAGTATTTTATATTCAATATATAAACTTAATTATATTTTAAGGGGATTGCAAATGGATAGTTTTTAAAAAACTAGTTGCTTGAAAATGAACAATTTTCATATTGCATGCATTGCGCAATATGAAAAATGAGTGTGTGGTAAGTGATCATTAGTAGTGTGACTGTAGGGTAAAAGAAATAGCCTTGGCACGTGCCATGTACAAATTACCACCTTGGTATTGCTCATGCGAAAGTTAAATAATTTATTCTCATTTGTATGTACTTTTTGTCAATCCTTTTATTGGACCTGATAACAAGATAAGACCTCAGATAACTGATTTGAATTTATTCATATGCATAGTTGAGTTTCATCAAACCCCATTTTAAGATATTTAATTTAAATTTTCCAAATAATCAACATCTAAAATTTCATAAATTTTAAATATTCAAACAAAATGTATAGGAGTTTAGGAACATAGTTTTAAAAAGTGGCCTGGTCGATCTCAAGTAGATATATTAATGAATTCAAATCAGTTTTCAGAAGTCTTCTTGTGTTATCAGGTCCATCATTCTGATTGACAAATGATTGGCTCATTTTGGTTGAAATAATTGACCATTTGCAATCCCTTTAACTTTTAAGCAATAGTCAATTAACAGATATTAAAATACTTTAGGTGATCCGTCTTTGGCAATGCCAACATCGCCAGTTGCAACTCCTTTCACTGAACCATCTTCATGATAGAGAACTTCTGCAGCTGGATATCCTGAATATACTTCAACACCTAAGGATTCAGCTTGTTCACCAAGCCATTTTACTAAATGGCCCAATCTCACAATATAGTTTCCATGGTTGTCCATTGGCATACCTATTTTATAAATATTAAATACATTTAAATCAGCACTAAGACAAATAAATAAATATAACACATCAACTATTAATTACCAGGTAAAATAGGTATGGGTATACGACTACTTTTAGTAAGAAAACCAAACTTATCATCTTTCACCGGGGTAGTTAATGGTGCACCCAAATCTTTCCAATCGGGAAACAGTTCATTTAAGGCGATTGGATCGACAACAGCACCGGATAGAATATGACTACCTAAAATAAATAAAAGAATTTGCACAATAATAAAAGGAACTTTTTAAGTCAATAATAATTGAAATTTATAATGTTTCAAGCAAATAAAACATTTGCAAACCTAGATTACTATTAACTAACTACTTATTTTGATCAATGAAAAAAACTAAAATAATTTCCCAGTTATGGTGATTAAAAATAGTGATCTATTATTTCTATAAATTATAATAAGTTTAATAATTATAATTAGTAGATACTCATACAGCACATAAATTATGAGTCTATCCAATATAAAATATTTACTTTATTAAAACAAAAAAAATTGTTACTATAAATTATCTTTTAATTTAGTCTATAAAAATAATAGAAATTTCGAAAGTTAGTGTTACCCAAGACTGTAATAAATACATTTTTAAAATTCTTTCAATAGATACAATAAAACATAAAATGACTTAAATCTTACCAACTTCTGAAGCTTTTTCCACCACACAGACCCTTAGTTCCTTGTCATTTTCAGTAGCTAATTTTTTTAACTTTATTGCAGCTGATAAACCAGCTGGTCCACCGCCAACAATTACAACGTCAGCTAGATCCTCATAACGCTCCATTGGTATATCTATATAATATATCATTAAGTATCATTATAAATAAATTAAACTAAAAAAGATGCAAGTACCTTTCCATCTTTGGTCAGTTTCTCGTGGACTCACAGTATAATGCGTTGTAATTTTTTGTGTAGCAGCTGAATATAGACGGAAGCATGATGTTCCCACTTTACGAACTAAAATTTATTTAATTTAAAAACATTATAGTTAATAAATGTATGTTATTATTTATAATATTCAGAAGACATAAGATTAATTAACCAAATACCTATTTATCAAAATATAATAATAAAATATTGACTCAATTAATTTTTACCCTTTACAAAATGTATCTATAGCCACATTACCTAAGTACTTTTGATTAACATATTATTAACAATTTGTTTATATGTTCACCTTATGAAATAAACATAGTATTATCTACATGAGTAATTAACTTATACTTATATCCAAATTAACAATTTAAAGTTATCTTTGATCTTTAAAATATACATATTAATATGTTGATTTTATTATTGGCATGACAGTATCATTATATACAATAGGGTATCATAGCTGTAAAATATGCAACTGTAGTATTCAAGTGTACACGTTAGATTTATATAAAAATAAAATAATAATCATACAACCAACATTTAAATACCTAAATATACAAATCTTCCCCCAAAAGTGAGAGGGTTTCCACACTGGTAGGTCTCACTCCACACGTCATGTCATGTTGTTATTTAATAGCTTAGTTTAACGAAAATTTACTAATGGTACACAAATTTTACAGATTGTAAATACCTATACTTTCATCTTAAGCACACAAAAAAAAATATGCATCTTAAATAAATTATTTGCAGTTAAGTATTTAAATAAGTGTGTAGTTTGTACTAAAACTTTTATTTTAGTTATTAATTTTTAATATATTGTAATATCGATCCGAAATGTTAACATTTTTTAAAATTGACCTTGTAGTTTTTTTAAATACATAAAACAGATACTTAGTACTTACACAATAAATTTGATGTAGTGGTCATCATTTTGAGTATAATTTGGTATTTAAGATTTTTAAAAACATACAGAAATCAATGTGATAATTCAGTAACGATTAATCTTAAAACTTTACTGGCTGAACTGAACTTTGGCTACTTCCGTATTCGATTCTGTGACTGTAAAACTATCAAGTATCACCGTAGAATATGTTCGATAATAAAAACCATAGACATTGCCCATTGGCCTCGTTTTGAAATGGTATTTAATCACATAACAATAATTTTTTTATCAAGGTTTGCTTACATCTCAGATCACACATTATGGAGTTATCACTGAATAGAGGATTGATTACGCACAGTGGTGTAATCACGGTTATTGTCCTCTGATGATAACAGTTTCAATATGTTGTAAAACAGCTGACCATAAAACATAATATTGTAATATTGTATCAGTGAACTCCATTCGCCTTCTCAAAAATCCGTAGTTTATAGAAATAGAACTTATAAAGTTATATTAATATTAATATTAATTCTTTTATAATATTATGACAATGATACAACTGTCTAATGAAAATATTTGATGATTTTGAATTTTTGAATACTAAATAATGTTAAATGACACTTGGAAACTAAAACAATTTGAAGTTTGAACAAAGTCTGACGTTTAGAACGTATAACATATTAACATGACTCGCCTCTTGTATAGATATTAGAATATTCGATACCTGATTTATTCCTTAAGAGAACTGGATCAGGTACAAATAATCACATAAAACAGGCCAAAAGGTAGACAAAACTTTAAGACTTGGGTTTGGCAGGTTTAATTTTGAAAACTAATTGAAAATGTCCAACAACTCTATACTAAGGCTTGGCAGTGGAAACGTATTATTATTACAAAAATGAATAAATTACCTGCTATATAAAACATACCACAATGCTTATTTTTGAAATTGTTGATATTTATTATTTTATCGAAGAATTTGAATAAATTAAATCCCCTCAGTTATTTCCTAACCAACACAATGACTAATTAATATCTATTTTCAAAATTAAAACCCGTTGAACATAAATCCCTCAATTTTGAACAGCTTTTTGACATTTTGTCATTTAAATGGAATGATGTTAAATATTTAATAAAATCTGTATCATTGTCCATTAGTATGTGTCTTCCAGTGCGGTGGGCCGCCAGTGCCTGGTAGATAGGTACTTGATAACGAATTTTATGAAACATACACACTATATAAGATATAACATTCGTTTACTTCTCACACAGCTCAAATATAAATGCTATATGAAATGCCTAATTATTACTCCTTAAAACATGTTACGCTCTAGAGACTTTGTATAAATCTAAAAAAAAATTGGGCAAACATAAATTGCGTCCGGTATTTTTTAGGTATAAATTTCTATGTGTAAATTGCGCCCAATAGAAATATTATCTTTATTTAAAGTCATTTAGCATTACCCAGAAGACACCACGAGGAGTATTTAACACCACTAACCTTGATTAAAGACATATCTTGAACGGTTGATATTGAATGGATTATTTTTGCTGGTCTTTCATCTGCAGCAGATAATAATCAGAGATATCTTCAGTTGCTTTCCGCTTTGCACTAGCGGACACAACTTGTTGTAATTTTTGAAAATCAATTTAATGATTATGATTTACATTTTTTCTGTTATATTTTTATTTTCTATCATCGTTTTCAAAAATGCTTTACAGGTCTTCACTGTACATAATCACTTTGTTTCACCCGAAGACAATTCACGTTTTAATTTTGAAAATTTATAATTTTCGTATATTATAATTTCATTTTCTTTTTAGCTAAATGCAGTTTGTATGTCCATGCTATCGTGTGGTGCGAAGAAAACATACTAAAGTATTAGTAGTTGTAACCAGTAATATAAGTAGTCATTTCAATATCGCAAATATTGTAATGATTAACAGTAACGTTTGGTTTTTACACCAATAAATGTACAAAAGTGTCTGAAAAGGATGAATTCAAAGTCACTTAGATTAGATACTATGGGCGCATTTTACTAGATAAAAATTTAAACCTGGAGGAATTTACTATTCTGTTTTCTCTACCTGCTCACTATGGGCGCAAATTACAATCGCCGATAATTG